CAGCTAAGCAGTGCTCTCTCAACATGGTTCTCAAAGAGCATGAGCTGCCAACCATCTCCATCTTCAGACAGAAAAGAGTGAAGGGCTGGTGGCCATTTGTGGCCCGGGATGAGAATGATGAATTTGAGCTCACAGTGAGTAAATATAATGAATAAAATAAATGAAAAATACTAAAACAGCCATTTCATTACCAGAAACAATTATTACCCAAATGTTATTTTACATTTGCTTGATAATTTGCCAGCATGTGGTGTATTGAAATGATTGCATAAGATTACCTCATTAACATTCTAACCATGTCGTGCTTGCAGGGGAAAGTGGAGGCAGAGCTCCATCTATTGACAGCGGAGGAGGCAGAGAAGAATCCGGTCGGCCTTGGGCGGAATGAACCTGAGCCACTTGAGAAACCAAAGTAAGACATAAAGCCGCTCATGTACATAAACATTTGTAAACAGTAGTTTTAGTGTGTGAATAAATATGCAATATATCATACTTCATATACCGTAGAGTACACTATGAAAGCCTGTTTCTGCCTTAAGAGTAAACTTAAAAAAAAAAAAAAAAGATTTAAGTTTAAAATAAGAAAAATTAAGAAATAAAGTTGCATGCAGGTACACTACCATTTAAAAGTTTTTTTTTTAATGGTTTTGATAGAAGTCTCTTCTTATGCTCACAGAGGTTATGTTTATTTAATCCAAAATACAGTAAAAACTGTAATGTTGTGTAATAATATTACAATTTAAAATAAGAGTTTTCTATTTTAATATATTTAAAAATGTAATTTAATCCTGTGATGCAAAGCTGAATTTTCAGCAGTCATTACTCCAGTCTTCAGTGTCACATGATCTTTTAGAAATCATTCTAATTTGGCGCTCAAAAAACATTTCTTATTATCAATGTTGAAAACCATTTATGTTGACGCTTTTGTGGAATCTATGATACATTTTTAGGATTGTTTGAATAAAAGCTCAAAACAATAGCAGTTCTTTGAAACATAAATAATTTGTATGTCTTTACTGTCACTTTTTATTAATTTAATGAACACCCCATGGCAGTTTATAAAATTAAATTTTTTATTAAGTAACATTGTGAGATATAAAGTTGCAATAATACAGTAAATAAATAAATTCACAATTACCCTTTTCTTTTTACTCTGAGGCAGAAACAGGCTTCCATAGTAGCCAGCATACATGGAGTATTTCGGGCATACAGTCTAACTGATGAGGATGTGCTAATTATACAGCTATAGAAAGGAGACATAAAGAGTGTCATATAAATACTGTAGATAATTACAGGTATGGCACAAACACTGACACATGAAGTGGGCTTAAGTTAGAAGCGTTCTCTCCAGTGAAGAATGCCCCTCTGAAACTGTTAACTTCCCTTTCTAATACTCCCACTCTCCTTTTTCACATCCTTCCTTCCTTCTGTGATTGCCCTTTCCTCCGCTTACCCTTTCCTGTTCATTTCCTTCATTCCAACCCCCATTCCTGTTTTGGAAAAAGTCGTCCAGACACCAGTCTAATGTGGTTCATGAACCCTCTGAAGTCCATACGATACTTCATTTGGCACAACTACCGCTGGCTGATCCTGAAGGCTCTGGCCCTGCTGCTCCTCCTTCTCCTCGTTGGGCTCTTCCTCTACTCTATTCCCGGATACCTGGTCAAGAAACTCCTAGGGGTGTGAGGGGAGATGGGAAGACCACTGGTAGCCCACTCTCACTGCCTCTGTTTTCTCTGCTCTCCGTCTCTCTCTCTCTGAGCCATTCACAGTGTATTTCTGTCTTTTTGTTACTCATACCGTATTTAAAGGCCTACAGCGTGGACCAGAGGGATTGTGGGTGATGAAGTGTTTTCCATTTTGTCATTCCTCTATCATCTCATCTCTTTCTTATGGCATATATGTGTGTTGTTGTACTTTGTGGTTGTCTGTTTGGGCAAAGATTTGAATTAGTTATTAATTTTATTAGATTTATATTCTATTGTCTGCTACTGTGCTTTCTGAACTTACCTTTGTTGCCTGATGTGTCATTGTACTGCTCTGAGCTCAGTCCACTGCAAATTTACAGTATCATGCACATACTCGGTAGTCCTAGGCGAATATTTTTACCAGCTCTGTGGGATAGTTTACACAAAAATGAAACATTTTGTCATCGTTTATTTACTCACCCTCATGTTGTTCCAAACTTGTATGACATTTCCTTTCCTATATGAAACACAAATGCAATAAAAAGTGCAACAATGTTGTTTTGACCCCATTTATTTTAATTGCATTGCCAAAAAACATTCTCCAAAATATATTCTTTTGTGTTCAGCAGAAGAAATAAAGTCATACAGGTTTGAAAAGACGAACACATTTTCATATTGAGTGAACTATCCATTTAAATGGATAATATGCCTTTAAGAGATTTTACAACTTTGCAGTCATCATACTAACCACTAACATCTGTATTACCTCTCTTCCTCCATCATCCACGGTTTCTCTTTTCAACTCACCACCTTTTACCTGCAACCCCTTCACCACCTCAATCACAGCCGGCCCGACACCACCTTCCTGTGGTTTCTGAGCCCGCTGAAGGCCATCCGCTACCTGATATGCAACCGCTACAAATGGCTCATCATCAAGATCATCTTGGCTCTGCTGCTGCTGATCATGGTGGGCCTGTTTCTCTACAGCATGCCAGGCTATCTGGTCAAGAAGCTGCTCGGGGCCTAAAGAGGGGTCAAAAAGGTTAATTTGAGAGATTCAGATTTGACCTTGTCCTCTAAAGTGGCCCTTTTCTAATATGTGGTTACAATCTTAAGAGTTTACCGTCCCTCATAGTTGCACTCTAAGCATGACGTATCAAATATCTTGACTTTTTCAGTATCAATTTGCATGTCTAACCCCAAAAAAGATCAATTAACTTATCTTTCTATTTGTACATTTCAAGAATAATTGGTCATAGGGAGAAAACGAAAGCAGGGAAGTGTCTATTTTTGGTACGGAATTCAGTAAACTGGATTGATTTCTGGTATTCGTTCGAATGTTGATATAAATGCATTGTTTCAGATTGTTGGATTGGATTTTGTTGTTATTGTCTACATGTGTATGTGTCGCTGCTAGAAGCACAATAAGCATGCAAGGTTGTCTAAAGAAAGATGACTTGTTCATCAGTAGCTACAATCTGAAAAATATTATGATAGGGTTGCAGGCCTCATATATACAGTATGTAATTTGATTACACTTTGCCTTGATGTTTGCACTTTCAGTCCATGCCACAAATCTTCTGCACTCCAGTAACATAATGTAGTTTATCCTTTAGAGAAACACAGACACTAGTAGGGGAATGATGCTTCATTTGACATTTCAAGCTTTAGCAACACAATAGAATGCTATTTCTTATATTTCCTACTGTTGTTTTGCTTGCTGTGTAATTTACTTGGTATGTACTTGTTTGCTTGCTATTTAATGTTGCTCTATTTAATGAATGGTAAATTTGACCATGGACCTGTTTGCACTGATTTTGGCTTGTTTATATAAAAAGAGTGTATTTTTAATTCTTGTTTACAAGTGTGCAATATGGATTGATTGATTTATTTATTTTTGTCAGTATGAAGACTTAATAAAATGAACTCATTGAAATAAAACACTGACCATGTTTGTTTCCATACTGTGGGTATGCATGTGTGTGAGAGAGTTTACAGTATAACCCTGTTCTCTTTCACACAGTCGTCCGACTACCAGCCTGTCGTGGTTGTTGAGTCCCATACGGGTGACCTGCATAATGTGTTGGCGGCAGTATAAATTGGCAACAGTGGTGACTCTGCTCAGCATAACCGGACTGATCTTTTTGGGCCTCCTGCTCTTTTCACTACCTTCAGCTTTCATCCAGAAGATCTTCAACATCTCTGGATAATTTCCTGGTGCCAGCACAAGGCAGGTTGTTGAAATGGATGGCATCACTTATAAGCATTGCTGATTAAATGCAATTTATTGCTAATTTAAGGTAAATATGAGATCATCTGTCTGTTAAGAATATTATTAAAAATATTATTAAATGTTGGTGTTTGGCACTTGACTAGAGACTCTTACCCATCAAAGGCTTTTTATTGGATGGATGTTTCTTCAACTATGAGCTCTTTTGCCATTGGTTTATTGGTCATTGTTTTAATTATTTTGTCTAATTACAAGGTAACAGTGTCTATACATGCATCACAGGAAAATTCTGTCCTTCATTTTAGTCATTTATTTCTGAAAGTCATGAACATATCCACCACATTTCAACCTAGGCACAGTATTGTGACAATATTTTGTGCTAAAACTGATAGAAATGACATTTTAAACATTTTAACGGAATAAAATGTTCGACCTCATTGTGTTGCTAAAGCAAATTTCATAGTTGACATAATATAATTATATAATAGCTATTTTCATGCTATTTGCGTGTAATTTTACAAAATTACAGCTTGATTGGAAATGTCACACACAAAGAGACTCGATTAAAAACACTGAAATTTGCTAGTTTTAATAAAACGACCCCGGAGACATTATTAGCAGATGAACACGTTTATATATTTTTATACTCTAATTTGAGTAAGAATGCATCCTAAAGTAATTTCTTCACTATTATGTTATTTTTATAATATTGTGGCTGAAATTAAAATATTTCTTTAACCGTGCGACTTGGTTTCTTATTGCATGCATCTTAATTTATAACGTAAATAACAAGTATGCATATACATTTCTCTATCTTATATTAAAATGGATCACGTGGATGCAGGACAATGGAAAATTAAATTGCAACGTTATGTTATCATCATATCTATTACTTTTATTACAGTACATAACTACTTTAGTACCTTTTATAAAAACAATTTTAGTACCTCCCTCCCAGCCACTGTACTTCACCGAGGCGCAGAACTAACTTACACGTCGACCTCCTATTGGCTGAGCTCGTCTCCGGGTGGAGGCGGGCCAATCAGCGCGGGCCACGGTGCGACTGCGTTGTGTTGGTACGCTGCTGGTTGGAGACCGGCTGTGTGATGCACTGAATGAGGTGGAGAGTTCACGCGGCGCACACAGCACTGCACAGCCTGAACAACTGAACGAGATATTGATTAGGAACAAAGAACAACCATGCGAGCGTTCTTGGGTGAGTTATAATGATAAAATGCGTGAACTCAGCTGTAGAGTGGCGATTTATCGACAAAAAAATGCGTGTGAGGTGTGGAAAGCCTAATAGTTAACGTGTAGAATTGCAGTGTGAAGGATACAGGTTATTGTGATAAAAGGGAAAGCAAAACATTCTGTAAAACTAACTGAAGAGTGTTTTAGAAAGCTTCGGTTTACACAGAATGCATAAATGTAGCATTATAGTATAGTTAAACATGCAGAGTGAGTAATGGTGGTTGGGCCTATAACGTTACATTACAGCAAATTCATCTCCAGATTGCATGAGACCAATTTTGTGTTCATATTGAAATTCTGCTGTCATCCCTTGTATGTGCTTAGAGTCTGGAAGTAGAAAGTCCTGTTTGTTATGAACCATATATTCAGTGTTTCATTCTATGGTTCTTGTTCTTACAGAAAGATGCTGCATTGTTTTAGTTTTTATTATAAAGCTGATGAAATCCCCTGATGCTCCAGTATTGATGCTCCTTCTTTATGTTCTCAGGCGTGTTGGCGTGTTCTCTGACTGTGCTCTCAGTCCACGGTCTCTACTCTGCCAGTGATGATGTGGTTGAACTCAACCCCTCTAACTTCAACAGGGAAGTCATACAGAGTGACAGTCTCTGGCTGGTCGAATTTTATGCCCCCTGGTAAGTTGTAAAAGTGTGGTGAAACCCGGATATGTGTCACTCCTAGAGATCTCTAGATCTGTAGTTACAGATCAGGTTACTGTCTGAAATACTGGTGCTGAATCAGCCCAATCTGTTGCTTTCTAAGCAGTATATACACTGTGCAGTGTTTGTTGAAAGCATAGTTTAGTTATTCTTCTCTAGTATTTCAGGCACTTTACTTGCATCATGGTTTGCATGTCAATAGTTTCAGTTTGCGTATGATGCATAATACAGTTGTGAGCCTCATTATTAGACCTGTGTGGTTATATGTTTCATAACCACATCTTGTTTGTTTGTTTTTAAGGTGTGGTCACTGCAAGAATTTGGCTCCTGAATGGAAGAAAGCAGCCACGGCTTTAAAGGTAAATTCTGAATTTAAGAATCATTGAATAAATTATTACTTTTATTCTGATCAAATAAATGCAGCCTGAGTGGGCATTGAGATGTGTTTTTAATTAGTTGTTAATTATTAGGATTATTTATTTTAATTGCTTAGATGTACTATGTGTTGTTAAGGAACCATGCTTGTTCAATGGAATATGTGTCCTCATTTATTCTTCTGAATATTTCTAAATATTTAATAAGTGACCTGCCCCATTGCAGTTAATTGGATGAATCTAAAAGTAAAAAAAAAAAATTGATTTATTGTTGGTGCCATTTGTGTTGTGGTACAGGGCATTGTGAAGGTGGGCGCTGTGGACGCAGACCAGCACAACTCCCTGGGAGGCCAATATGGAGTCCGTGGCTTCCCAAGTATCAAGATCTTCGGAGCCAACAAACACAAACCAGAGGATTACCAAGGTTCAGTACTGCATCTTTATAAAACATCTTGGCATGCACACAAAGAAAACATTTTATGGCAATGTGAAAGTCTGTTTGTCTCTCTCTCTATCTCTGTGTTAGGTGGCCGTAGCAGTCAGGCCATTGTAGACGCAGCTCTGAATGCTCTCCGCTCGCTGGTCAAAGACCGACTTGGTGGAAAGACTGGAGGCACAGACTATGGCAAACAGGTATGGTGAATTTGTGATGAATCGTGATGAATTTGTTGCTATATTGTTACGTTTGCATTTTGATTGACTCTTTGGGTTCTGTTGTGATCAGAGTGGAGGCGGTGCCGGCAATAAGAAGGATGTGGTGGAGCTGACCGATGATAACTTTGACCGTACCGTGCTGGACAGTGATTATGTCTGGATGGTGGAGTTCTTCGCCCCCTGGTGTGGACACTGCAAAAAGTATGTGTCTCGTGTACATCATAAGACCTGTCTGTCTGTCATTCCACTGAAATAGTACCTGACATGCTGTGGCATGCATTATTTAAGCGCTTCAATTATTTACATGGATTCAAAGACTAGGGCTGAATGATTAATTGCATTTGCGATAATATCGCGATATGAATTAACGCGATTTTTCAATCGCAGAGGCTGCGATTACACGGTCACGTGACACGCGAGAGTGAAGAGGTGTGTTCCACTTGAAGATCAGATCGGTGTATGACATCAAAGTACGGCGAGCGAGAGAAAGCATAAGGAGACGTCCGCGCTCTCTTATAGCTCTCGCAGTACTTTGATGACACACACCCATCGGTCTAAGCAGCGCTGCTTCAAGTCGAGAGCGGGCCATCAGCAGAAAAAGAAAATAAATAAAACGGTAAAGAGCCAAAGGACGTAACTTAGAATGGGAGATGGATCGGTTTGTGAAAGGGAAGAGAAAAGCCATAGATGAAGTCGCACAGACCCAGGCAGGTGCTGGTCATTCAAAAGCTAAATGCAGAAAATATGACGAGGCATATCTTGCTCTCGGCTTCTCTCACCATGTCTATACCGGACGCTACAGTCGTCGCGCCGCAACAGCTCTACACTGACACGACAAAGCGACCGTTGCAAATCATTTTAACTTTGTGTCAGTACGTCATAAATAGAACAAGACATCAGTTTAATGTCGGGTTTTGTCGTGTCACTGTTTGTACACTGATTATAATGGTTCTACTGTATTTTGCCGCTCGCGTCCGGTGTAGACACGGTGTTTAATGTAGTTGGTGAGGAGGAAAGCCTGTGTGTCCTATGCCTTAGCGGACAGCATGAAACCCACAAAAAATAAATAAATAACAGAGAGAGAATAATAATAATAACAGTTATTCTCTCTATGCTCTTTTTCAATGTTTCAAGTGATGCAGGTGTTTTTTTTACGTATAGGTTTTTTTAAATTAAAAAAGTATAAATTTTTCATAATGTTTAGTGAAATTATTTGGTAGTCTGAGGGGGGCGCAACCAAAAAAGTTTGAGAA